AAAAAAAAAAAAAAAAAAAAAATATATATATATATATATATATATATATATATATATATATATATATATATATATTTATAGCATTGTATTACATTGATCAACTAAATTTAATTTGCTCTAAATAAACCGAGATGAAATGAAATGAGATGAAAGTAAGTCAAATTAGACTAGACTAATGTGCAATTTAATTTAATAAGATTCTTTCAACATTTTGAGAATGTACATCAAGTAAGAACAACTTTCCAATCGTTCAGAGAAAGTTTTCTGTCAACATCAAGAAAAGTGCATGTCAAATACTCTTATAACAATGCTTTATAAACGTTACAGCTTTAGTTTTCCGTAAACGTTCCCACACTGCAAAAGAAGCTTTTCTTAAAGTTTTGTCTAGTTTCTAGTCCAAATTTCTGAACTCGTAAACCAAGAAGCATTTTTTGGTAAAAAAAAAAAAAATTATAATTTTTTTTTAAATATATATATATATTTATTTATTGAGTTTTTCCTTAAAACAAGCAAAATAATCTACCAATGGGCTGAGTAAATAAATCCTGTTTTTCGCTTTAAAACAAGATTATTTTGCTTACCCCCTAGACAGATTATTTTGCTCGTTTTAAGGAAAAACACACCTAAATTTTACTTTTATTTATGAGAACAAAACAATATTTCTTTGTACTTGTCTAGAAAATGTTTAATTTAAGAATTTTTAGATATTTGGACTAGAAAGTGGCGCAATGACTAGCAGTGGCGCAGTTGGTAGTGCTGTCGCCTTACAGCAAGAAGGTCACTGGGTCGCTGGTTCGAACCTCGGCTCACTTGGCGTTTCTGTGTGGAGTTTGCATGTTTTCCCTGCATTCGCGTGGGTTTTCTCTGGGTGCACCGGTTTCTCCCACAGTCCAAAGACATGCAGTACAGGTGAATTGAGTAGGCTAAATTGTCCGTACTGTATGAGTGTGTGTGTGTGTGGATGTTTCCCAGAGATGGGTTTGGCTGGAAGGGCATCCGCTGCATAAAAACTTGCTGGATAAGTTGGTGGTTCATTCCACTGTGGCGACCCCGGATTAATAATGGGACTAAGCTAACAAAAAAATGAATGAATGAATAAATAGACTAGAAACGAGACAAAAACTCTAGTTCCCCGGTGGTTCATCTCGTTGCACATCCTGCCTTGTCTGTAAAAACAACGTGTTAATTCAAACTTTTTGGTACTTTTATGCATGTGTGCTCATCTGACGGTGCTTTACTGAGGGAAAGCGAAGGGGCACAGGGTGATTTCAGCCTCCCACACAAGAGGCCATCAGAAAAGTGATGCAAATGTACATGAGCTCCCATTTAAAGTTGCTGTCGGATGATGTGGAGCGGCCTCTGTCTTCCCCCGCAGCTCCAGGACTACACTAATGACCCTGACAGGTTTTTAAATTCTCCTCCTCTGTCTTGCGGCAAGAGCCTGTTATAGATCATTACATGACTGGCTATTGTCTGATCTGCTGCATACATATTCATTTTTTTGCGGCAGAGATGGTGGGTGTACGGCGGTGCCAGAAATGAACTTTTCTTTGAAAAAAGAAGCTGTTTGCCCCCCAGAAATGATTTTCAAGGGCAGTTTTTATCGTTAATGAGGACTCTTGTTTTCGCCTTGTAATTTTTCTAACCATTCAAAACACACACACACACACACACACACACACACACACACACACACACACACACACACACACACTATTGATTTTAAGAAATTCCAAATAATTTACTTTTTTTTTATATACAATTGCAGTACTTGATTATTTTGATTACCGCAAGTTTCTAATATGCAGTAAGTTACTGTAAAAGTTTTAAAATGACCCACAATTTTATCATTATTTTATTAATACTTTTATTTTTATTTTATTTATATTTTATTATTTTACTGGGCGTTGTTGCAGTAAATAACTGTAAAATTGCAGCACATTTATTTTTTTCAGAATCGGCATAAAATAAAGTTTGTTTTTTCTTTGTGGTTATGTATACCTTTAGGCTAAAGCTGTTAAACAAATCTTATCGAGTATATATTAAATAGTAAATAAATACTATTTTAGTTCTTTATACTTCACAATTTTACATTTAGATCAATCTGAGACTTAATAATAATTTTAATAAATTTAATAATGTTTGTCCTTCTATTTTTGAGCAAGTCGTTTCAAAATATATCCCTCCACACACTAAAAATACCCGTAAATTAGCAGTCACATTTTTGTTTTTCCCCATATATTTCTGCTTTTGAATTGCATCATAGGGCCTTGATCTTTCTTCCAACAACTTTTAACCTCAAAAAGTAAAAAAATAAAGTGGCTTTTATGAACATTTTGAATAGTTTAAAGTGATATTTTGTCTGGGTTTGTGTATATTATGCTTCAAAAACTGTAATAAACTGACAGTACTGTACATACATTCACATTTATTTCTCTATATATCAGTCCTTATACACTATATTATTTCTGTTACTCCCCTCGAGATGAAACAAAGACTCAAGTCGTTCTTGATTTTAACTGACATTTATTCGGACACGAGTCTTTAGCATGTCTTGTACATTCTAGCCTTGCACTCCTTTATGTCCCAACAACGTTGTCAGAACTACGAAAAGAAATACATAAACTTAAATTACTATAATTAATATTAAAATACAACTTAAATTAACCCTTTAAAGGTGATGTTGCACGTAATGAACAACATACATACAACCAAAAGATAAAGTGCACATTCAACATGTAAAGAAATACACTTAATTGGCTAATTATACATTAACATACGGACACATAATCATACATGTTCACATACGTTAACACTATACGACACTTACCTCATTGGCCTCTTTAACTCAAGAGGAATAAACTTGAAGGGTTGCAGTTTCTCTTTAACAAGCTTCTTTGTACTTCTTAATCCTTACAAACGCTTTATTAGCACGGCACCTTGTGGCTGTACCACTTGAAGTGCATCGGAAGCATATCTTGATTGCAACAATGAAACTAGAACCTAAAGTTTATTGATAAACTTTGATCTTGGCTTGAGAAAGCCAATGTGACTGCGCTAGGACTGGGAATGGCTGTTGGCAGGAAGCACGGCGGCGGTTGCTAAGTGGTTGCTAGGCAGTTGCTAAAACAATTATGGCATTGTTTGGTGGTTGCTACGCAGTTGCTAAACGGCAATGCTCGTGTACATGTTTGATCAAATGCTAATACTTAGTAGGCATTTCTAGCATATGTTATTGCATTTAGATAATCATTCATAGCATGTAGCTAATCGTTATTAGCACTTGCCTTCCATTATAATTGTTACCATGCATAGTACACAGGAAGTCCCATTTGCTAGCATGAGTCAAACAAGCCAATGCCCAGGTCCCTACGATGTTCTGATGTGAAGATATTGCTATTTTTAAATGGTTGCTAGGTTATACTGTTTTATTGCTATGGGGACATTTGACAGGTTAGTGATGATACATCAAAGCTTCTTGGCAATATGAGTGATCTTAATCAACCCCGATGTTTCTCTGACAGTCTTTATGAGTGTCAAAAACTGGACTTGAACATTATGTATTCCTGGTGTTGGGTTGCGGCTGGGTGGGCATTCACTGTGTAAAACAAATGCTGGATAAGTTGGCGGTTCATTCCGTTGTGGCGACCCCTGATTAATAAAGGGACTAAGAGAATGAACATTATGTAAAAATGGCTTGCCGTATTTTTTGAAAACACAATGCTTAATAAGTGTGAAAGTGATACATGCAAAAATGGCTTGCCATATCAGTAAAAAAATATGGAGTTTAAGTCAAAAATGGCTTGCCATATTTTGAGAAAAATAATGCTTAAAAATAATTTATTGGAAAACTATAAGTCTGATAAACCTTAAAGATATAGCAACAAAATCTAACGCATCCAAATACAGCTTTTGGCCAAATTTGGGGCTTGTATAATTTTTTTATATGCTCGGATTATAAAAATTTAATATTTAACATTTTTTATTAAAAAAAAACAATAAGTCTTATAGGCATGAGGAGATATAGCAACAATCTTGAATGCAGAAGGCACATTTTGACCACATTTGGGCCTTGTGGCATGAACAGCCTAGGAGGAGATACGTTTGTTTTCAAGGACAGAGTAGTATAACAGTATGTTGGCTTTCTCAAGCCAACATAATAATAATTCCCTAGCTAAACATAACAAGAAATAGGTCCCCCCCCTCCCTTTTATAGTTTTAGTTAAATAACTTTAAATGAATTAATATGCATTAACAACAAATATACATTAGTTATTTAGTCTAATGATTACTCTGAACATTTGAACTATTTATTGACTTTTAACTGTAAAGTGTATCTTTATAGAGTGTAATATAAAAGAAAAGCTTCTGACGGCAGCTACAATTTCAAACTACTAAAATGTCTTTTTGTTAGGCTGTAGAGTTAAATTCTTCACATTAAAAGTCAACAGAGCAGAGATCAAGGTCCCATAATGCAATCCAGAAACTGTTAATGAACATTTATTTTTGACAGTGCAGAATCAACCTAAAATAAAACACAAATGCAACAAACCCAAGCTTTCACATGGATGCAAACACGGATCGGTTATAATGATGAAAAATTGTTTGACGTTTTGACCGAGCTACTGAGAAGAGAGATGGATGCAGATTTAGATATAATTTCCACATGTTTCCACAAGAAATTCTTGGTCAATTTCTGACCCCGGTGTACAGAAACCACCCCATGTGTGGTCGAACAATAGATTGCAAGGATCAGACTTTGATATCCCGAACCATTTAAGTTCCTGTTTTCATCCATTTATACGTTTTTTGTAAACATTAATCACACACTTTCCGAGCCTGTGATCATCAGTGTTGAGGTAAATGGTGCTCTGGGGTCTAAACACAGGATCCCCGGAGCGAGGGCTGGAATTTTAAGCAGACGTTGTCATGTTGCCATGTTTCTGTGGGCGATGGCTTTCTCATGTGCACTATGTTTGGTTCTCGGCGGCTCTCACGAAGGCCTGAATGAAGCGTATCTTAGTCCCGTGAGAACACTGTGTTACTCAGACCCAGGAAATGTGCAACCTTGCTGTGTCAAGCCAATGACAAATTCAAGACAGACTAGTGTGAAAAAAAAAAAAAAAAAAACGATGCACTTTGCTTTCAGACATGCAGACAGATTAATATCGGATGTGTTTTCTTGGGCACCTTCATGGGTGACTTTTAATTAAAATCTTGAGGAATGGTTTTGACAAGAATAAAGCCTAAACCTTTTATTAATTCAATTCAGTTGCACGCAAGATGTTTATGTCTTGTTTTTAGTTCAAATATCTGAGATTTCTTATATCAAGAAGCATTTTCTAGACTAGTAACATATTGTTTTGCTTTCAGAAATGAGTCAAAATTAAGTGCGTTTTTCCTTAAAACAAGCAGAGTTTGAAATAAGTTTATATTACTTACGCCTCTGGCCGATAGTTTTGGTTGTTTTAGGAAAAAACTAGAAGACCATTGTACAGAAAATTCTTCTTAGTTTAAGCATTTCTAGATATTTGAACTAGAAACAAGATGTAAATTGTTAAAAAAAAAAAAAAAGCAAATAAATAAAGTATGCACGCTGCAAAAAACATGATGTTTTGTCTTGTTTTTAGTCCAGTTATCTTAAATTAAGAAGCATTCTCTCGACTAGTAAAAAATAAAGTTTTAAAAAAAGTACCGGTAAACTGTGCAACCCTATTTTTTCTTACCATATTGGCAGATAATTTTTGTTTGTTTTAAGGAAAAACTCACTTAATTTTGATGTTATTTATGAAAACAAAACAAAACATTTTTTAATTGTCCTGAAAATTATTCTTGATTCAGGAATTTGTAGATATTTGGACTAGAAATGAGACATAAATTCTTTTTTAATAACTCAAATCCAGGAAATCCAAGAAATACTATAATACTATAATACTAAAAAAAATAAAAATATATAATATGAATGAATATTTCATTTTTAACAGTCCTAAAATATTATTATTATTTTTTTGTTTATTTAGTTTAATTGACTAACAAAAATACATAAAAATTAAGATAAAAATTATTCCAAATGAAATTCGTTACAGGAAGTGATTTTTTTTTTTTTTGTGTTTCCTGTTGCCATTTTTTTTTCAGTCTTATCAGATAAAAATTCAATGTAATTCCAAATTTCCTTTTAGTGAGTTGTTGTTTTTAAAAGATTGATGCAGTCATTGTAGCTAAATCATATTCACAGAAACAGAAATGAACTGATTCAGATGTTTGTCTGAAGCATCAGAAAACAAGGCACAAATTCTAGTTTTGCTGCTTAATGCAGACTATTAAAATAAAATAAAGTGGTCTATTGATTATTTGTCGGCACAAATATGTGAGCATTTTAGTGACTTTTCCACATGCAACATTAACTATTTTAGAACCGTTAAAGACGATAATACCATTTAAAGACATGAGAGGCACCGCCAATGCACTGTAAAAAAAAATGCTGGGTTCCACACAATCGATCTAAGTTAGGGCACCATGAAAGAATTCATTTAACATATTAGTTTTTACAAATTCAAGTAAATTGAACAAAAAACTATAAAGTTGTTCCTCAAAAAAGTCAAGAGTTTAGTTTAGTAGAGAATAGTTCGAACAAACAGCAAACCTTTTTTGAGTGTATTTTGGTGCCATATTATCACAGTGTTGCCAAAGTACCGGTAAACCGTGCAACCCTATTTGTTTATATTTTCTTACCATATTGGCAGATAGTTTAGCCTGTTTTAAGGAAAAACTCATTTCATTTTGACTTATCATTTCTGAAAACAATCAATTTTTTTTTATTATTGTTCAGAAAATGCTTCTTGATTTGAGAATTTGATATTTAGACTAGAAACAAGACATAAACTCTTTTTCACTGCATATCCACATTTCCATTTCTAAGTTAGTAAATTACTTAGAAACCATTTCTAAGAGTATATTGACTTTCTTAATAAACCCTCATGATCTTATTCTGTATCATTCATGCATGTTTTTATATAAATGTTTTTTTCTTTTTACTGAATCACCTGAAGATACAAGTTAAAACGAGTCTCCAATGGCATTTATTGCTGAGTGCATCAGCCTTTGGTCGCAGCAAACTCTGATTAAATGCAAAGAAATCATTTGAAACTCTAGATGTTTCCATTTCACGATGGTAAAAGCATAGTGTCCTTGAATAACAAGTGATCAGTGATGCATTTTTGGTCTACACTACTCCTTTAAAAGCTCCTATGAAAGAGACAGAAGGTATTACGTCAACATTAGCTGAACATTCTGTCTGATGAAGCCGCTCTCAGATTTAATACCGAGTTCCACTGTGATTTATTGTGATTGTATTATTAGCAGCATCCCGCAGCGTGTGACCTTTTGTGCCTTTGTAATATATTAGATTGCACTAAAACAAAATTTACATTTGGAGCTAAAAGGCTGGCCTGCTGCCGCATACAGCAACACTGGATAAAGAGGGAGACGGTGAATATGACACTTGAACAATAAATGTCCACTTGAGAACAAGTGGTCGACTGTGACGTCACAGGGATCTGAGATGCTGTCTGAAGGGCTCTTGCACTTAAAATTGTTCAATTGGGGTCATTTTAAACTTATTTTCTGGGTTGTCCTGCTTCATTTCGCTCAATGAGTTTAGTAGTTTATTCTTGGTGTGCATAAATTGATATTTTACACTGTAAACACTGAGTTAACATACTGATTTGCATAGTTGCAATGTCATTGTTTGGATAAATGGGCTATATGCATACAGACTTTAAATTTTCAGTTCACCAGAAGCGCTTGGCCTGGCTGACTGTCCTTACATTACAAAATCGCCACATTAGAAGGTGCTGCATGTAAGTTTTTGACTCTTCTAAAGCATAAAAATACAATATTTTTGCAGATATTTATAAACTGCTAAGAGAACATTCTTGTTTATCTGAAAAACAATGCTAAAGTCAGATATTCTGCTTTGAAAATGTGCGTTTTGTCCAAGTGTTGCAACGGCTGTCTTTCTTTTGGTCATTTAACCTGCCCAATGCCAGTTTAGCCATCTATATTTCGGCACCCCTGGGTTGCCTTGGTGGAAAACAGCATATTTGATTCATTCATTCAGTCAGGAAGGCTCTCAAAGTGTGTCTGCGACCAAAATTTTGGGGGCAATTTTGGAGTGTCTATTTAAGTTAAGTGCTAATAGCGCACCTCATTGGAATAAGCTAGTCAAGCGATTCCTGCCCATCACCGTTAGATTGACACATTGTGAGTGGC